AATGCACAACAGCACGTTGTATTAAATACGACACAAACAACGTGTACAGGGAACGTCTCAAGACATAAATTTTATAATTGCAATATCATTATCAAGGGTGGATCCAGGATTTTAGGGTTAGAGGTGGCGCAAACTTAAATATTCGCAGAACAGAGCGAGGCTAAAAAAAATTTGAGGTAAAATTATCGAAATATACTTTCTCAAGCTGAGGACAACCCATGCTTTGCAAATTTTAGGAAAGGGGGGGGGGCGCACCGCCACGCCCTCGCCTGAATCCGCCCCTGATTATACTTCATATTTAATACTTTCCAATAAAAACGCATATGTTCTGTCAAAAGCAAATAGATTGGTATATGTAAATGGCTTTCTTACTTCAATCTATTCTTTAATCTTTTACTTTCCTATCTACAAATGAACTTTAATTTGATTGTCGAAATATTAATACAAAGGTCACGTGGTAACATATCAATAGAGGGATCGTATCAAAGACATAGATAACTACCTGTATAAATAATCGAAAATTTTCGAGACGTTCCGAGAATTTTGTTTCCGATGATATCGAATGGCCCATAGAAGCTTCCAAAACTCGCCAATATATAAGCGTGACCCCCTCAGGGGGTTCACGCAAAACAAAAGTTAAATGAATTAAACAGAAACTTTCAAAATTCTACCATCAACAACAAATTCTCCCTCAAGTGGTATAAAATGTTGACTATTCAAATCTACCTTCAATGCATGTATGCAGCTTTCATGGTTTCACTTTAAAGCGGCGTGGCAGGAGTTGCACTTAGTGATGTTGTCAACGAATATTTGTTCCGCCTAACAGAAGTTCCACTGGAAACTTTGTTATAAACAATGTCATAATAAAATTGAGAATGGAAATGGGGAATGTGTCAAAGAGACAACAACCCGACCATAGAGCAGACAACAGCCGAAGGCCACCAATGGGTCTTCAATGCAGCGAGAAACTCCCGCACCCGGAGGCGTCCTACAGCTGGCCCCTAAACAAATATGTATACTAGTTCAGTGATAATGGACGTCATACTAAACTCCAAATTATACACAAGAAACTAAAATTAAAAATGATACAAGACTAACAAAGGCCAGAGGCTCCTGACTTGGGACAGGCGCAAAAATGCGGCGGGGTTAAACATGTTTTTTGAGATCTCAACCCTCCCCCTATACCTCTAGCCAATGTAGAAAAAACAAACGTACAACAGTACGCACAGTAAAACTCAGTTTAAGAGAAGTCCGAGTCCGATGTCAGAATAGGAAACAAAAGAAAATAAACAAAATGACAATAATACATAAATAACAACAGACTACTAGCAGTTACTGACATGCCAGCTCCAGACCTCAATTAAACTGATTGAAAGATTATGTCTTCATCATATGAATATCAGGCACAATCCCTCCTGTTAGGGGTTTAGTATTATACCGTCATAAAATATATGAGAAGAACATAACCCGTGTCATGCCAACATCTGGTTTTAGAATAAATATGTTTAATTCCGATGCAAAGACCCTATAAGTGAATCAATATTAAAGCCAAAATATGCAATTTTTAATGACCTGACAACAGTATCGTAACTATATCCCTTCTTAATAAGTCTGTTTAAAGGTTTTGTTAGCTTTTGAGGTGAATACTGACATTTTTGTGCTTTGTAAAGAATATTACCATAAAAGATTGGATGTGAAATACCCGAACGTATAAGATGTCTGCATGTTGAGTTATATTTACGAATGATGTCCTTATACCGATGATAAAATTTAGTAAATGTTTTGACTAGTTTATGATATCGAAAACCCTGGTGTAATAATTTTTCAGTAATATATAAATTTCTCTCGCTAAAATCTAATACGTTGTTACATACACGAGCGAATCGTACAAGTTGAGATATATAAACACCATAAGATGGTGACAAGGGAACATCACCATCTAAAAATGGATAATTAACGATAGGAAATGAAAAATCATCTCTTTTGTCATAAATTTTTGTATTAAGCTTCCCGTTAATGATATAGATATCAAGATCGAGGAAAGGACAGTGGTCATTGTTATTATTAGCTTTATTTAAAGTTAGTTCAACAGGATAAATTTCTTTAGTATACATACTGAAGTTGTCATTATTGAGGCCCAATATATCATCCAAATATCTAAAAGTATTGTTAAATTTTTGTATCAGATGTTGTTCCGATGGGTCTTTGCTGATTTTAGTCATAAATTGTAACTCATAACAATACAAAAACAGGTCCGCAATAAGTGGTGCACAGTTAGTCCCCATTGGAATTCCGATAACTTGACGATATACAGAATCTCCAAAGCGAACAAAAATGTTATCAAGTAAAAATTCAAGGGTAGATATAGTATCAAAGCATGTCCAATTGACATAGCTCTTTTGTTTGTTGCTACTAAAAAATGACCTAAAAGAGTTTGAACATATGTATTCGCATTCCGACTTTTTAAATGCCCATTTAATTAGGTGTGTGAATTTTTTCTTAATAAGAATATGAGGCAAAGTGGTATATAGGGTAGAAAAATCAAAACTTTGAACAGATTCAAAATCACCAATATATGCATGCAATTTATCAAGTACTTCCAACGAGTTTTTGACACTCCAAAAGTAGTTAATTCCACTATTTTCAAAGGCCTTATTTGAACAATTTATTATCAGATTTTTGATTGTACCAAGTGTACTAGTAAGTAGAATAGACAATTTAGTAGTGGAACAATGACTTGAAGACGAAATAAATCTATATTTGTAAGGTGATTTGTGTAGCTTCGGAAGCCAGTACTTAGTTGGGACTTTCATTGTATTTGGTTCTGCTTGTAAAGAAGTAGCTAATAGTTTATGTTTGTTACAGATATCGTTTTCTGAAAATGAAGTCAGTTGGAATGTTGGTGAATTCGTGATTTCCTTTTGCAGAACCTCAATGTAAAATTTACGTCAAACTATAATGATATTATTAGCAGCTTTATCAGCCGGGACAAAAACAAATTCCTTGGCTAGTTCTTTTAGTTTATGTTTGATACGAGAGATAGGATTTTTATGGTTGTTGTTAAGAGTAAAATGTTCTTTAAAATGTTGTATACGTATATCAACTATCTTCATTACTGAATTAAAAAAAGAGTCCAAAGATTTTTTGTCAGCTTTTTCCCGTTTTATCCATTTCAAACAGTAAGCACGAAGTGAGTCGTGGATGATATTACGACACTCATTCCAATTAATAATTGACGGGGGACGATATTTAGGTCCTTTACTGAGGAATGATTTCAACTCTCGGTCGCGAACGATGTTAAGGTCTCCTGTTATAACATGGGAAATGGGGCCATAAGTGTATTCGGAATTACTACAATTACATGACAATCTGTTCCTGTTGGAACAAATATTCTATACCATTTATTCCGTTAGGAACATTTACTGTAATATTTATTCCAGTGGAAATGATATTCCAGAATATTGTTTCCATTTGGAACTTATATTATGAAGGAACTTCTATTCCGTGATAATACAAGGCTCATTAACAAATAAATTGGCAGCCTGTAGGGAAATAAAGGCAACAGTAGTATACATACCGCTGTTCAAAAGTCATAAATCGATTAAACAAATTCGGGTAAAAAACTAAAACCGAGGGAAAGACATCAACTATAAGGAGATACAACGGAACAACAGAAACACTGAACTGCAACAAAAACAAACGCCAACATTCAGAAAAAAGACGGACGGACAGACTGATATTATACATGTCGGCAGACTTTCGCAAACTCTCGTGCACTATAGCTTGTAATGAAGTATAATAGATGTTTGATATTGCAATACTTTTACGACGGGGATATTATTATATAGTCAGAAAATAAGATATTGTAAGTGGGTTGTTTAATGAATAGGTCAAATGATTATATCAATTTCTGAAAACCCAAGGAAGGTAATGCTTTATGTAGCCCTCAGAGGCGGTATTAGGTGGAACCCAGGGGGCCCTGTCTCCTCTTTATGAAGCTTCATTTATGATAAATGAATACACTTATTACAAGTAAGTGTGTAAGTATAATCTAAACATAAAATGACAAAGAGACCCCTCTAGCAGATGTTAATATTCATTGTGCAACTGTCTTTTGCTGTTTTCGTGTCAACAGAGACATACAAATAATATATTTATATATGTCTCTGGTGGCAATGTACATTGAATTCAGATTAAAATGATGACCATTGAAAACTTTTCTTTCACGTCGATAAACGAATATTATAAAGTTGTTCCAAAATTATATTACAGTAGGGGTGGAAGGTTATTCAAAATTAAGGAATAATAGCGGTTGAAGGTATGCGAATTAACAGTAAGCAATATTTTTCATCAATAACGAAAGGGCGGCAAGTGGAATTGTGACGAAATAAAAGTTTCATCATAATATTTGTTCAAAAGAACTTTTGTTACATAACAAAAGTGCCATTCGGAACTTTTACAATATTTTATCCATTGCCATAAGAATATTTTCTACACAGAAAACAGTATTATATGATAAAAGTTTCCATGGTTCATATCATGCTTTGAGAGAAAAGTATATGTGAATATCTTGTTGTATCAATGATTTGTATAGTAAGTAAGTAGTCTTACTATACAAATCCTTGGTTGTATTCAACAGTATCCATGTAATCTTTTGAAAAATAGCATGCATGTATAAAACCACATGTACAGGAAATGCACTCAATTGTAAAACAATCCCATATATGATATACACGTGACGTATCTTTAACAATGACCTTTAGGCTTTATAAAACCAGTCTATTGTATAATTTCCAGTAATCATAGGAACACATTTTATGGGGCTTTATGTTCCAGGAAATTATTTTATGAAGAAGGAATACATCACGTAATTTGATTTCTTAAGAAATTTTGAAATCTACTATTTTGATTCATGTGGAACATATGTTATGCGGAACAAATATAGTTAAAGATTGACATTCTGGCGGGGAATGATTTATCTCCCCTTTTGTCCTAATTAATACCCTCAGTGGCAAACCTTCAGGTAACTCATACTGAATGACTTTATCAAATCCTTGACTATATCAATAAAGCATGACAGGCCTGTAGAGTACTACCATATTTGGTATGGAAAGGTATTCCCAAATGTAATAACTAAAAATAATAAATATGGAGTTGCAATTAAGTAAATTTTTGCAGAGGCATGTCTGAGGAGTTTCGTTTTGTGAAGAGACTGAGTTGATTTTCTACTAGTCTGTTAAGTTTTGGAAATCTGAGGAAGGTAAGCTTACTAAAGTACAATTTTATTTCACATTATCTAATTTTGGAATTCTATTTCCTGTCAGTTGATTTACAGTTCCAACTGGTATCATTTACAGATGCCATAAAAAATTATGAAAAGGGGGATGGGGAGGGGGCTAAACAAAGCATCATTAGGAGTGGGACATGTAAAAATTCGATGTATTAACTATACATGTAGCTCCATAAGAGGGCTCTGGCCCCAATAATCTGCCTCTGATTTAGATACATTCTATTCTTAATAGAACATTCTGGCTAATACAATAAAATTTTTATAGAAGGATCAAAATCCTTGAGAGCTTTAAAATAGCTATTTCTGTAGGACAATGTTAGTATATGATTCTTTAGTCACAGCTCCAGGGGATGATAAGGTTGGGAGCCAAAAGAGATACCCATTTATTCATATTGATACTTGTGGTGGAGTTGGGAACAGTGAACAGGAAGGACAACTTTTAAGAAATAGAACTTGATTTATAATGCCTCAAATGTTTGAATTTTGCTGTAAATTAGATGTTGAATAACAGGGCTTAGTAAGACTTTTTTAAACCCATTTTGCTGACAGAATAAACATAGACATATACAAAAAGGGTTTAAAAGCAGAGTTGGATTTAGGTTAAAAAGGGGGAGGGGGCAAGACTGTGAATGGGGAAGATAATCAACAATAATGCTAAGAGAAATTCCATTTTTCATACTGTCATAGATGATAGATAATAAGCATATCTAATCTGCTTTAAGTTTTTATTCAATTTGAAAATGTTTTGACATGCATATCTTTTTGAATTAATATATTTTCAGGAAGAAAACTATGACTGCTAAGATCACAAGAAGTTCTCCTTTGTTATACAAAATACAAGGTAATTGGCATAGTATCATATTAAAGATCCATGATAAAAACAAATAAAATTAAGTGGTGCCAGTTATGAAAAAATAATAACAAACATCACATTATTTATTTCATGGGTCTTAAAAAACATCCAAAATAAATTTGATTTCCATTCATACAACACATGTTTCTGGAACAACCTTTATAATGTAATCTTGTGACCAAAATTGATATTGAATGAGTTCATAAATTTGTTTGGAAATATGTTGAAGACAAGAATATTAAGACATATGGCTACATTCATATTGCTTGTTCTTTTTTGGCATTCAGAATACAAGCATTTAATAGATTATATAATAGAATTCCAAATACAAGTAGTAATTGTTAAAGGCAGCACTTATCCTTTGTTTGAACATTAATTTCTTATTTGTAACTTCTCTTGAACAATTATTAGAAACTAACCAAAAACTAGACTATTAACCCTATTCCCCATTCCCCAACACAAATACATATTCAATGGTGTGTCTGTGCCTGTCTTGTTGATCCTTGTTGGGAACCTTGTCAGGGGTTGTGGTATGTCATAAAATTACAAAGGAGAGCTGCAAGAATAATATTAGATACATATCCTTTAGTTTCTTGTGAGCCCTCATTCAAACAATAAAACTTGATGACAGTTGAACAGAGAATAAAATATCACAAGTTTATGCTGACATTTAAATTTATCTAAAAGGATGACTTATCATATCTTACTAGCTAATTTCATTATGTCTTGGACAATAATCCTACCCAAAGTCATAATGTATAGACACCTATCTATTGTTGAAGACAGCGTATCTTGCCCTCTATAAGTCTTTTGTTATTTCTGTTGTTTGATTGCTGTCTCATAAACATATAACCCATACCTCCCTTTATGGTGAATTTTCTGTTTCAGTTATTTGATTACTAAGTTTTAGGGTTTCACATATCCAAAACATGTTTTCATAGGATCATAGGTCAAATGTTTGTCTTATCCTCAACTCTCATCTGGAATTTGAAAATTATTGTCAGGAAGTATTGCTCATCCTATCTTTAATTGAAGCATGTTGTTTTGTTTTAAACATGAAATTTGTCATTTTTAGCACTTCATTTGCCTTATATATGTATTCTACAGAAGACTACATCTTTATACTTCTATTTAATTTTATTTTGCAGTTACCCTACCAGAAGATGAAGCTGAGATCTTTAAGGCAATCCGCCTTGATGATATTCCTATGTTACGGAATCAGACAAAGCTTGGTGTTGACATTAATATTATACACACAGGTAAAATATAGAAAACTTTCTTTTACAAGTCAATTGTTGTTGTTTTTGTCCTTATATATGTGTTTTCTCTCTTTGACAATCGAGTGTGTATGGTTGGTCCAGTTGGCAGTGATTTCAAATACGTTTGTACATTGCAACAGACTTCATCTTCTGTTATCAGACATCACCTTAAACTACAATGTTTTATCTAACACCATATACAATTAAAAAAAGGGGAAGGGTTTGGACATTGAAAAACTAGTTTCACCTTGGTATATTTTAATGTGGCTGCCACATGTCTAGGATCTTGTTAGTTCCTAAATGTAGATGTCATATATATTTTGTTAATGTTTTTTTGTGTTTTTGTTTTCTTAAGAATTAAGTGTATTAATGGCACATCTTTGAGTGTTTCTGTTAAATTTATTCACAAATTTTGTAGAAACATGTCATTTACAATTGTAACCCAACATGCACAATGTCATCTTTGTCCTAAATAATCATTTACAATTGTAACCTAACATGCATGATGTCATCTTTGTCCGAAATTATCATTTACTATTGTATCCCAACATGCACAATATCATCTTTGTCCTAAATTATCATTTACAATTGTAACCCAACATGCATGATGTCATCTTTGTCCTAAATTATCATTTACTATTGTATCCCAACATGCACAATGTCATCTTTGTCCTAAATTATCATTTACAATTGTAACCTAACATGCACAATGTCATCGTTGTCCTAAATTATCATTTACTATTGTAACCCAACATGCACAATGTCATCTTTGTCCTAAATTATCATTTACAATTGTAACCCAACATGCACAATGTCATCTTTGTCCTAAATTATCATTTACAATTGTAACCCAACTTGCACAATGTCATCTTTGTCCTAAATTATCATTTACTATTGTATCCCAACATGCATGATGTCATCTTTGTCCTAAATTATCATTTACAATTGTAACCTAACATGCATGATGTCATCTTTGTCCTAATTTATCATTTACTATTGTATCCCAACATGCACAATGTCATCTTTGTCCTAAATTATCATTTACAATTGTATCCCAACATGCACAATGTCATCTTTGTCCTAAATTATCATTTACTATTGTAACCCAACATGCATGATGTCATCTTTGTCCTAATTTATCATTTACTATTGTATCCCAACATGCACAATGTCATCTTTGTCCTAAATTATCATTTACTATTGTAACCCAACATGCATGATGTCATCTTTGTCCTAAATTATCATTTACTATTGTATCCCAACATGCACAATGTCATCTTTGTCCTAAATTATCATTTACAATTGTAACCTAACATGCACAATGTCATCTTTGTCCTAAATTATCATTTACTATTGTAACCCAACATGCACAATGCCATCTTTGTCCTAAATTATCATTTACTATTGTATCCCAACATGCACAATGTCATCTTTGTCCTAAATTATCATTTACAATTGTAACCCAACATGCATGATGTCATCTTTGTCCTAAATTATCATTTACAATTGTAACTCAACTTGCACAATGTCATCTTTGTCCTAAATTATCATTTACTATTGTATCCCAACATGCATGATGTCATCTTTGTCCTAAATTATCATTTACAATTGTAACCTAACATGCATGATGTCATTTACTATTGTAACCCAACATGCATGCTGTCATCTTTGTCCTAATTTATCATTTACTATTGTATCCCAACATTCACAATGTCATCTTTGTCTTAAATTGTCATTTACAATTGTAACCTAACATGCATGATGTCATCTTTGTCCTAAATTATCATTTACAATTGTATCCCAACATTCACCATGTCATCTTTGTCCTAAATTGTCATTTACTATTGTATCCCAACATGCATGATGTCATCTTTGTCCTAAATTATCATTTACTATTGTAACCAAACATGCACAATGTCATCTTTTGTCCCAATTTATCATTTACTATTGTATCCCAACATGCACAATGTCATCTTTGTCCTAATTTATCATTTACAATTGTAACCCAACATGCATGATGTCATCTTTGTCCTAATTTATCATTTACTATTGTATCCCAACATGCACAATGTCATCTTTGTCGTAAATTATCATTTACAATTGTAACCTAACATGCATGATGTCATCTTTGTCCTAAATTATCATTTACAATTGTATCCCAACATTCACAATGTCTTCTTTGTCCTAAATTGTCATTTACTATTGTATCCCAACATGCACAATGTCATCTTTGTTCTAAATTGTCATTTACAATTGTAACCAAACATGCACAATGTCATCTTTGTCCTAATTTATCATTTACTATTGTATCCCAACATGCATGATATCATCTTTGTCCTAAATTATCATTCACAATTGTATCCCAACATGCACAATGTCATCTTTGTCCTAAATTATCATTTACAATTATAACCTAACATGCATGATGTCATCTTTGTCCTAAATTATCATTTACAATTGTTACCTAACATGCATGATGACATCTTTGTCCTAATTTATCATTTACAATTGTAACCTAACATGCATGATGTCATCTTTGTCCTAATTTATCATTTACTATTGTATCCCAACATGCACAATGACATCTTTGTCCTAAATTATCATTTACTGTTGTATCCCAACATGCATGATGTCATCTTTGTCCTAAATTATCATTTACAATTGTAACCTAACATGCATGATGTCATCTTTGTCCTAAATTATCATTTACTATTGTAACCTAACATTCACAATGTCATCTTTGTCCTAAATTATCATTTACAATTGTAACCTAACATGCATGATGTCATCTTTGTCCTAAATTATCATTTACTATTGTAACCTAACATTCACAATAACATCTTTGTCCTAAATTTTCATTTACAATTGTAACCCAACATGCACAATGTCATCTTTGTCCTAATTTATCATTTACTATTGTATCCCAACATGCACAATGTCATCTTTGTCCTAAATTATCATTTACTATTGTATCCCAACATGCATGATGTCATCTTTGTCCTAAATTATCATTTACTATTGTATCCCAACATGCACGATGTCATCTTTGTCCTAAATTATCATTTACTATTGTATCCCAACATGCATGATGTCATCTTTGTCCTAAATTATCATTAACTATTGTATCCCAACATGCATGATGTCATCTTTGTCCTAAATTATCATTTACAATTGTAACCCAACATGCACAATGTCATCTTTGTCCTAAATTATCATTTACTATTGTATCCCAACATTCACAATATCATCTTTGTCCTAAATTGTCATATACAATCATATCCCAACATCCACAATGTCATCCATGCCATATAAAAATAAGCACAATGTCACTCAGATCATCTGTTATTGTAACACAAATTAAGAAAACAATGTGAAATAGTTTATACATTTGTACTACAAACCTCCTTATAAGATATTTTTGCATGGTAAAATATCCCCCTTTGGAGGTTTGAAGGTTTGAGGACTTGACATCTATATTTATAAAAAATATTCAGTTATGAATAATATTAGATAACAACAACATCTGTTCTGCAGATTTATTCAGAACAACTTAGATTAACAATATCTGTTTTTTTTTCTTTCGTTTTAGGTTCAGAATGTATGATTAAATCTCGCCAGTTATCTCGACATATACGTTTGACAGGATACAGTCCCTTAATAATGGCAGTGATATTCAGTCAAATAGAGGTAATTGATGATTATTTGTCTGAATTCCTTAAAGTAAGAACAAACATATGGCATTGAACTATAAAATTGATCATTTTATTTGAAAAAAATTTATTTGAACAAAGAAAGTTACAACATTATATACTAAATGGAATGCACACAAATGTTTTGAAAGTAATATAAAGATGGTTGTTGTATACTACTATATGAATCATGATATTTAAAGACTTGATAAATCTCTTAATTATAGGTCTTTGGCCTAAGCAGTTTCTGAATGATGTTTTTTCAACTGTACTTTTTAGACAGTAGAGTGGTTAGTTGATAATGGTGCATTAGTAAATATTCGAGAAGGTACTCAACGTACACCACTTCATTTAGCAGTGGCTACAGATAGACCTGATGTTGTTCAGTATTTAATAACAAAAGGTTAGTAGGAATTTTAATGTTATACAATAGACTAAAGGCTACAGACAGACCTGATGTTGTTCAGTATTTAATAACAAAAGGTTAGTAGGAATTCGAATGTTATACAACAGACTAAAGGCTACAGACAGACCTGATGTTGTTCAGTATTTAATAACAAAAGGTTAGTAGGAATTTTAATGTTAGGCTACAGACAGACCTGATGTTGTTCAGTATTTAATAACAAAAGGTTAGTAGGAATTTTAATGTTATACAACAGACTAAAGGCTACAGTCAGGCCTGATGTTGTTCAGTATTTAATAACAAAAGGTTAGTAGGAATTTTAATGTTATACAACAGACTAAAGGCTACAGATAGACCTGATGTTGTTCAGTATTTAATAACAAAAGGTAAGTAGGAATTTTGATGTTATACAACAGACTTAAGGCTACAGACAGACCTGATGTTGTTCAGTATTTAATAACAAAAGGTTAGTAGGAATTTTAATGTTATACAATAGACTAAAGGCTACAGACAGGCCTGATGTTGTTCAGTATTTAATAACAAAAGGTTAGTAGGAATTTTAATGTTATACAACAGACTAAAGGCTACAGACAGACCTGATGTTGTTCAGTATTTAATAACAAAAGGTTAGTAGGAATTTTAATGTTATACAACAGACTAAAGGCTACAGATAGACCTGATGTTGTTCAGTATTTAATAACAAAAGGTTAGTAGGAATTTTAATGTTATACAATAGACTCAAGACTACAGACAGGCCTGATGTTGTTCAGTATTTAATAACAAAAGGTTAGTAGTAATTTTAATGTTATACAACAGACTAAAGGCTACAGACAGGCTTGATGTTCAATATTTTATAACAAAAGGTTAGGCATATTTAAGTTATACAGTAGACTAAAGGCGTCTGTGGCCATATACAAGATGTAAGGTAAGGTATACTGCAATGAGACAGCAACCTGACGACATAAAAACAAACAAAAAACATCTAAAAGTCAGCATAAAGTCTTCAACAAAAGATAGTTATCTGTATAGGATATGTCTTGCTCTAAATTAACCGTAGGTTGAGATTGTTATCTATTCTGTATAGGATATGTCATGCTCTAGATCACCCGTAGGTTGAGATAGTTATCTATACTGTATAGGATATGTCATGCTCTAAATCACCCGGAGGTTGAGATTGTTATCTATACTGTATAGGATATGTCATGCTCTAAATCACCCGTAGGTTGAGATTGTTATCTATACTGTATAGGATATGTCATGCTCTAGATCACCCGGTGGTTGAGATTGTTATCTATACTGTATAGGATATGTCATGCTCTAGATCACCCGTAGGTTGAGCTTGTTATCTATACTGTATAGGATATGTCATGCTCTTAATCACCCGTAGGTTGAGATAGTTATCTATACTGTATAGGATGATCTATACTGTATAGGATGTGTCATGCTCTAGATCACCCGGAGGTTGAGATAGTTATCTATACTGTATAGGATGTGTCATGTTCTAGATCACCTGTAGATTGAGATTGTTATCTATACTATATAGGATGTGTCATGCTCTAGATCACAAGTAGATTGAGATTGTTATCTATACTGTATAGGATATGTCATGCTCTAAATCACCAGTAGATTGAGATTGTTGTCTATACTGTATAGGATATGTCATGCTCTAAATGACCAGTAGATTGAGATTGTTATCTATACTGTATAGGATATGTCTTGCTCTAAATCACCTGTAGATTGAGATTGTTGTCTATACTGTATAGGATGTGTCATGCTCTAGATCACCTGTAGGTTGAGATTGTTATCTATACTATATAGGATATGTCATGCTCTAAATCACCCGTAGGTTGAGATTGTTATCTATACTGTATAGGATATGTCTTGCTCTAAATCACCCGTAGGTTGAGATTGTTATCTATACTGTATAGGATATGTCTTGCTCTAGATCACCCGTAGATTGAGATTGTTATCTATACTGGATAGGATATGTCATGCTCTAGATAACCAGTAGGTTGAGATTGTTATCTATACTGTATAGGATATGTCATGCTCTTAATCACCCGTAGGTTGAGATAGTTATCTATACTGTATAGGATATGTCATGCTCTAGATCACCCGTAGGTTGAGATTGTTATCTATACTATATAGGATATGTCATGCTCTAAATCACCCGTTCATTGAGATAGTTATCTATACTGTATAGGATATGTCATGCTCTAGATCACCCGGTGGTTGAGATTGTTATCTATACTGTATAGGATATGTCATGCTCTAGATCACCCGTAGGTTGAGCTTGTTATCTATACTGTATAGGATATGTCATGCTCTTAATCACCCGTAGGTTGAGATAGTTATCTATACTGTATAGGATATGTCATGCTCTAGATCACCCGTAGGTTGAGATTGTTATCTATACTATATAGGATATGTCATGCTCTAAATCACCCGTACATTGAGATAGTTATCTATACTATATAGGATATGTCATGCTCTAGATCACCAGGAGGTTGAGATTGTTATCTATACTGTATAGGATATGTCATGCTCTAGATCACCCGGAGGTTGAGATTGTTATCTAAAATGTATAGGATATGTCATGCTCTAGATCACCCATAGGTTGGGATTGTTATCTATACTGTATAGGATATGTCATGCTCTAGATCACCCGGAGGTTGAGATTGTTATCTATACTATATAGGATATGTCATGCTCTAGATCACCTGTAGGTTGAGATTGTTATCTATACTATATAGGATATGTCATGCTCTAGATCACCTGTAGGTTGAGATTGTTATCTATACTGTATAGGATATGTCATGCTTCAAATCACCAGTAGATTGAGATTGTTATCTATACTGTATAGGATATGTCATTCTCTAGATCACCCGTAGATTAAGATTGTTATCTATACTGTATAGGATATGTCATGCTCTAAATCACCTGTAGGTTTAGATTGTTATCTATACTGTATAGGATATGTCATGCTCTAGATCACCTGTAGATTGAGATTGTTATCTATACTGTATAGGATATGTCATGCTCTAAATCACCAGTAGGTTGAGATTTATTCTAACAGTTACTATGGTTACTATCAAAGATCTGCCTTCAACATGAAATTATCCAAATGAAAAAAAATTAAAACATAAAGATAGGACAAAAGACAACCACTGACTAAGTTCATGAATTAGGATAGGTGCATGAACATGTGGTAGGATTAAACATACAAAAAATAAGTATGGGAAAAGCCTTTTAAGAATTTATTTATTTTTGTTGGCATATGCTTACATATAGTTCAAATAATGAATATTAAGTGATTATTTTTTTACTAGACTGGTTAATTAAAAAAATTTAGTCAGCATTAGTTACCGTCAAGCTGTTTTACATTGACTATGAAATAAAACACAATATTACTTATAAATATATCTCTCTGTATGCACATAGTACAAAAATTCAGCCACTTTAAAAATAATCATTAATACCCGAGTTTTTAAGGTAGATTGGGTGTAATTTTCTGAGCATCCCTTCTGGGGTTGTTGCAAAAATACTTTTTGTTTTACAAATATTTTACCAAGTACAATGTATCATTCAATATACAACAAAAACATCTAAAAATTGAAATTTAAAGATTAAACTCTCAAAAAATTAAGTGTAGTTTAGTGTATTTAAAACTTTCAGAAAAAATCCTTTAGAATCAATGGCAGATAATCATACTGAATTTGAATGGACAATTTGTGCTATTTTTAATTTTTTAAGAAAATAAGGCCCATGGCCACCCTATTTTCATGTGATATTTCGGAACTATTTATGAAGAGCAATTCTCTCATTGAATTTTAACCAATTCTATCTTTTAGTGTTCCCTCAATAAGGAAAAGTTATGTTTATCCCTATATAAACCTTATAAAATAACTGGTATTTCGTTAATTTCAACGTATTTAAACAAAATAACAAAGTCTGTGACCCCCAGTTTTTACATTGCAATTTAAAAGAACATTGACCCAGAAGTCTTTTACAGAAGTTTAAGAAAAATCTATTGTCAAACATTTAGACACCCCAGCTACTTTAAATAAAAAATAACATGACCAAAACAGAAAGGTAACAGAAAAAAAATATGACCAAGAATCTTTTCTTTTAGGAGCTGAACTGAATTGCCAGACAAAAAGTTTAAGAACTCCTTTACTTGAAGCTGTTGATGTCAACAGTCCCCTAATTGTTGATATGTTAATAAAAGGAGGAGCAGACCTTGACCTTGGGGATATAAAAGGAACAACACCATTACTAGATGCTTCATTTCACATTTTAAATCCACATCGCCACAGAAATTTGAATATGGAAGTGATAGAACTACTTATAAAAGGTACAATAGACAATATAGCTTCCCTACAGTTACTGTGTCACCTATGTAAATAATGCATTCAACTGACCCTTTTGATTTTGATGATTTAAACCTTTGTATATTTTTATGGCCCTGCCACAAAGTGGTCGGGGCGATATATTGTTACCCTTATCCGTAATTCTGTCACTCTGTCATTCTGCAACGAACAGTTATACAGACTTTTTTTTATAATTTTTCACATATTGCTGATTTTTAGTCAACTGTGATGAGTTACAGCTCAAGTTTATGTTTGGTTTCACTCAGCTGATTTTTGCCGAAATTACAGTCTTTGGACTTTGAAATTATGTGAAATAACAGTTCTTCAAATTTTTTTTCTAAACGTCTTCACATATTCAGCTGATTTTTAGTTTGTGAGTCACTGTGTTAGTACCACTGCTGATGGACTATTATAGCCCAAGGGTACAATCAACTCAGAAGTCAAGGCTTTGGTACTGGTTTGATTAAAATGATACATTTTGCAATGAAATTCCAATTTATTTTTGTTGGCTTGCGAAATTTATTTTGCAAAAGCAAGACATAGCGATCATAGATTCCGTAGGCGGCGTCAACATTTAGGTTCAGTCTTTGGTTAAAGTTTTTTTAACATCAATTACTTTGTCAAACATACATGGAATTTTATAAAATTGGAACAGAAGCTTGTTTATGACCAAAATACAGTATCCAGGGAAAAATTTTGAAAATATTTATTTTCATTTTCCCTTATTTTACAAATAAATGGACTTAGTTTTTTTTACAGTTAACTTCAGATTTTCAGTCATCAATAACTTTGTCAAACCTTTATGCAATTTTATAAAATTTGGACAGAAGCTTGTTTATGACCAAAAGACAGTATCCAGAGCAAAATTTTGCAAATATTTTTTTTCATTTTTCCGTATTTTACTGATAAATGGACTTAGTTTTTTTACAGTTAACAAGTAGTCTGGGGTTAAAGTTTGTTACACATCAATTACCTTCTCAAACCTTCATATAGTTTTATGAAAGTTTGGCAGTAGCTTTTTAATGATTAAGAGATAATGTCTGAAGCAAACCTTTGAAAATATGTTTTTTTTTTTATTTTTAGTACTTTTCTGATAGATGGACTTCATTTTTTATAGTTAACATTTAAAGACAGTCTGGGATAAAAAAAAAAATTTACATGATAAATTTGTAAACCTGCATGGATTGTTATGAAACTTGTATAGAAGCTCATCTTCAAGACCAAAAAATAGCATCTAAAGAAAATTTTGATTTTTTTTTTAAATTCTGTATTTTACTGTTAAATGGACTCACTTTTAAAGTCAACATTACACTTTAACACTGACAGCAGCAATCACATTGTGCTTAAATTAAGATGGAAAATTCCTAAGGCAAAGTTAACCAAAGAAGATTTTGGCTGTTCTGCTTTAGTACTTTTTGGTTTTATACTGTGAACTTAATTTGTGACAGTAAAACTACCAATGGACGTCTGCAAAGCTTCAAATACAATACAGTTATCTCTTAATTCTAAAGCCATTACCGGTATTATCTTTCAGGAGGATGTGATGTAAACAAGACCAACAATTTACATGCTACACCTTTAATGATGGCTGTTGGCAGCAAATCTCAACCAGTTGTAGAAGTATTGTTGAATGCTGGAGCTGACATTAATCATGTAAATATAAATAAATGGAGATATGGGGTAAATCTCAATACTTGGTTTTCTATTGTAGTTCATATATTTTGTACTTTTGCTCAAAAGAAATTCCAGGAAATTAGGCTAGTCTTTTGAGACAATTTTTTTTTATGCTTTCACATATTTAAACAAAAATTGAAAATAGCAATATTTTAAGGTGCAATCAGGTCAGTGGTGCAAATGTAAAAAGACTCCTTTATTCAGAATCCTGTTTGGTAGTTTCAAGGCAATAAAATGTATCGTGCATTAGATGTATTTTGATAGTGAAATTTTTATATTTCCCTTTAAAGCAGTGACGCAGCAAGTCTGATATGAAAAACAGTAAACATATTTGCTACCCTGATATCCTTTTAATGTATTGTAAATATCATTTTCTGACATAAAAAATGTATTATGATTGTTGAAGAGATGTTTATCAATAAATTAATAACACATACTCGGTATAGTCTTAGAAGATTGGGAAATTGAGGGTCTGAAATTGGCCTCACTGTACTTTCTTTGAAGGAAACTATGTTGGAAATGACATTAAATGTAATCTGATTTGTAATACTTATAGGCTGATAACAAGAAAAGAACTGCTTTCCATTTGATTACCGAACATGACAAGATGACTAACTTAGCATTACAGTTGTTACAAGCAGGTGCTGATTTAAATACTAAAGACTCTAATGGTATGTACAAGTTTTCAGTAGTACACACTTATGATTTGTACAAGTTTTCAGTGGTACACACTTATGATTTGTACAAGTTTTCATGAACAAAGAAAAATGATATGTTTATGTTTTCAAACTAATCCTAGCAGGCAAAAGAGGTTGAAACACTGAAATAACTTCAAAAGGTGATGATCAGTCATAACTACAGCCAATTGGGGCTGCTAGGACGGCATTTATAGATGTTCATGATGATACTGTAGGATTGAACTTTATTTTTATTCGTGTATTTATTAAAAGGACCAGTCTGAGTTCAAAAAAAAAATCTATAAACTTATGACATTTATTTCTTCATATCATTGTTTAAGATATTGGTGTATCTAGAAAAGGCCCTCAGTCTTAAGAATTTCAGTTATGAAGATTTTAATGATTTTTTTTTATGGTTTGCTTTTTCATACTTGAAACTTCTCACATTAGTATAACATAATTGGTGGAAATGCCAAACATCTATGCTGGAAAGGGAGAAAAACTATGACTCGAATGAATGAGGCAAATCAATTACATGACGTTGGTACAGAAAAACAAGAAAAGACACATAAATAGAGTGAACACTTGAAACTTGGAAACAATATTTTATTGGACAGAGCACAATTAATGCAGGCATGATCCAAATAAAGATATAGTTAACAAATACATCTATAAAAAATAAAATCATTGTAAAAACAAGTCTTGTTAGTTTACATTTGGAATATAAGTAATAAATTATTCCTTATTATGACTGATATATTTTTCATATATATATATATATGCTGTGTGCACTTTCATCATAAATCTATTTATAGTTTTTATAAAATAATGCCAAATTGTGTACATTATTTAACTTGAATTTAATTAATAAAATATGTTTACACTAACATGTCCAGTGCAAAATTTGCAAAATCTCTAATTAGAGGGTACGTATTATTGGTTTTGCATATCTACCAGTAGGCTCAGGCTTAATAACACCCAGACTAATTAATATGAGCGGCAGTTATTTTTTTGTGTATTGTCACTTTATATACCTATATGGAGTTATTTTCTTTCCAAACGATAGGTTTGAAGAATCAATCCGGATGATACCAAGTTTCAATGCAATTTGCTTCAAGGCATAAAAATAATGACCTGCCTCATTAAAATGCAAACTGTAATTTACTTAAACATTCAATTTATTTAATAGTTATCGTGTGTTGTTGCCAATTGGGATTTTACTTTGTAATTTACTTAAACATTCAATTTATTTAATAATTATCGTGTGTTGTTGCCAATTGGGATTTTGCTTTTTAATTTTCTATCTTTGACAGGTTTAAAGTAGAAACTATCCTTTCCTCCTTTTATTAAGACTGAAATATCAAAAAACATCTTTGACACACATTTTAACTTTCGAAACAAATAATGTGAAGTTTTGTTAATTTATCGCTACAATAAAGGGACATTATGTGAGATGAATTTTATAATGCCAAACTTTTCATACCACTTTTAAAACAAACCAAATTTTAACTCATTCATGTGTAGGACTTTTAAAATCTCTTTGATTTACACTGTATTGGAAATCATACTTTGACCTATGGATGTTCGTTTTTCGGGTTACATGTGCATCATGATTTCTTGCTCTTTTTGTGCCAGTTCTTAACTTTTTCGTATATGTATACCTTTTACTCTATCAAATGATCAAATGACCAAATATTCTCATTTTCTATAGAATAACAGCCACATACTTTATAAATGGTGGGGGTGGGGAGGGGGGGGGGGTAAATTTTATCTCAAAAAATGTATTGCCAGACAAAAAAGAAAAATTGTTGAAAAAATAATCTGCTTTTCCGCGATAAAAATGTCATGGAAAAAAACATAGCATCCCACTTCATAAACTAAGTTGACACAATAAATTACTTACAAAGAGAGTTGTATATTACATACACCATAATTCATTTGTGTCTTGCTTCATGCAATTACAGTATATTTTTTTTTTATTGTAACTTGGTAATGATTTCTAAAGTTTATATCTACATTAATCTTTTTTTTCTTCACATTATGAATTAGCCATAGGGCTATTTAAACCTGAACGCATCAGAAAAGAATATTCCACTTTAATTTGATTGGTAAAATAGGATGGAACTCCTGCATATCTTTGCAGAAAATAATATTTTTTTATGGTATATAAGTCAGATAATGCATATTTGAAGGTTTTTAACCTTAAGATGTAATTGACACAACATCTAAAGAAGCAAACCTACTATGATATGTATACACCAATTTAGCAAGTTTAGCTGCAGGTATACTGCTACTAGGAAAACTGATTGGAAAACTTAATCATGGTTTCTATAAATCTATAACTTGATAACAAAATTATAATTGTTTTTTGCAGGCAAAACACCAATTGAGAAAGTTGTTAAATTTGGAAAATTTGAAATGATTAAGTTTTTGTTACATGCGGATTGCCAGTATGACAAGGAATTAATTAACTCTGACAGAATGAAATATCTATGTGAACTTGTGCCAGTGTTTGGAAAGTGGGTCAGTCATGAACTTGGAACAGTTAAGACATTACAAAGGTTGTGTAGACAGGCAATTAGGAACAATACACAAACAGAACAGTTAAAGAACATACCGACACTGGACCTTCCAAAATCACTCATTGATTATTTAATGTATAGATAAAAGATTGTTTTGTGATAGAATGTATTTTAATTAGCCTTGTTTTTGACAAATTGATAGGAATAATAAAAAGATTAGACAACACAGCAAACATCAACCATTTTGTCTAAGAAAGAGAGTACACAACAAATGTAAAGCATGAGGAACAATAAATAGGCTAGTTAACTGGACAATAAATTTACACCTAAAAAGGGTTAACCTTTTAACAATTTCAAGTGCTGGCTATATTTTGCAAGTGCTAACATTTTTAGTATTGATAATAATCACAATTAAGGTTTCTTTACATGATATTACCATCACATATTACACTGTATCTTCTACATATATATACCACAAAGCTGACATAAAAGTTGGTTAAAAGATGGCTTACATTTGTCATTTCAGGGCTTTTATAGCTGGCTATGCGGTATGGGTTTTGCTCATTGTTGAAGGATGTAATGTGACCTATAGTTGTTAACTTGTATGTCAATGGTCTCTGGTGGAGAGTTGTCTCATTGGCAATTATACCACATCTTATTTTTATATCAACATCACCAGCTTTATCCTACTGCATCAGTACTTTCATCTTAAACTTCACCAACTTTATTTTACCATATGTCACCAACTTTGCATTTCCACATTATAGGCTTAATGTAGCTTATTCTTCAGCCATCACTAATCTTATTCCCATTATGATCAACTTTATCTTGCAACACCATTGTTTTCGTCTTACAGCATCACATTCTTCATCTAACAAAACCAATGGCTTTATCCTTAAAAAGCTTCATTCAACAAAATTACCAGCTTCATTTTAAAACATCACCAGATTCATCAGGGGCAGATCCAGCATTTTTAAAAGGGGGGTTCCAACTTTATTTCCCCATTCAAATGAATTGATCATAAAAAAAAGGGGGTTTCCAACCCCCGGAAATCCCCCCCCCCCCTCCTCCCTGGATCCGCCTCTGTTCATCAAAATTATCAATATCAGCATTGTGCCATTATTTTAACACTTCTAGATATTACTTTATATTACTGCCAAAACATGTTGTAATATTATAAATTAACATGATATTTATTTGCTACTGGAAATTTTGATTAAAGGTATGTTTAGATCCCAAATTACAAAAATAAAATGATTGTTTTAAACTATATATCTTATTTATATTTTCATTAATTTTATGAACAATCTACCTCAAAAGGAATGTTGCTTATTTATAAAAATGGTTGTCTTTTATGTTATGATATTAAGTTTAGTCTTTGACTGGATTACTGATTAGTTTCAAGTTTCTATCTACATGTCCATCCTTTAACATAAATGTTATATGCAAGCTTGTTTTTATACGACTGCAAAAAATTTTGCAGTCATATATTGGTATCATGCGTCGTCGTCTGCGTTGTCCGAAGACATTTGGTTTCCGAACAATAACTTTAGTATATGTAATTAGAAATATATGAAATTTAAACACAAGGTTTATAACCACAAAAGGAAGGTTGGGATTGAATTTGGGGGTTATGGTCCTAACAGTTTAGGAATTAGGGGCCAAAAAGGGACCCAAATAAGCATTTTTCTAGTCTCCAGACAATAACTTTTGGAAAGGTGTATGGACCTCTCTGAAATTAGACCACAAGTTTCCATACCACAAAGGGATGGTTAGGATTGGCTTTGGGGGGTTATGGCTCAAACAGTTTAGGAATATGGGGTAAAAAAGGGGGAAAACAAGGGTTTCCTGATTAATGGACAATCACTTAAAAATACAATGCTATGTTTGGATTACCTCCCTTACACTGCTTTTAAATTATATATAAAGAAATGTTGTATTGTCTTGAGGTGATTAGCTGTCAATTTATTTTTAGAAGTTACTATTAAAAATGCTGATTAAGGAATATTAATTTTAGCTATGATTATGTATGTCATTTTCTATTTGTAAGACTTTTATGATGTATTTAAATGGGTAATTATGGTTGCAAACTCCATTTGAAATTTGAATTGAGATTATGACCATATCTTGAGGGAAAGATTTTTTTTTTAAAGGGGGGGGGGTGGTAAAAAAGAAATTGTGGGGGGAACAATTAAAAAAATTTTATTTTTTTTTTTGGGGGGGGGGGTCAATTCTCAACAGCATAGTGTATTGCACAAAAGCAAAAAATTGAATATAAATTCAAATCATATAACCAATTCAAAGTTCTTTGACTACAGTTTGTCTGTGTCAGAAAACTGTTATGTATCAAATATTTAATTACAATCCAAATTCAGACCTGTATCAAGCGCAAATATTGTGTCCATTTTTGCCCCAACTGTTCAGGGTTGGACCTCTGCGGTCGTATCCAGCTGCGCTTGGCGAAGCAAACTATTAGCTTTTGTGTGTACCAGATTTACGAGGTTGCTCCAACCCATCTTGACTATAGCTTCTGGAGTGCCTAACAGATATCAATGAACATTTCCTACCATTTGTTATATTGTTATATCATCTCAACAGTATTCTGTTAATTGATGCATTACATCTAGTGTGATATATGACTCTTGAGCCTTTTATTGAAGTGTTCTTTCTTTAATATGGAAACTTGATTTGGATTTTATTTAGTTTTTAAACAAAAAAGATTGTAGATTATTAAGTTTTCAAATAAAATTGATTATTGATTCAAGTATATACTTTCTATGATAGAGTTATTTATATGTTTGTTGCAAGTCATTTTTTGTTAAAAAAAAAAATCAGATTTTAATCATAATCTGTATGTTTGAAATGTATCTGATGCTTATTATATATAAAAAGTGTTCTGCAAATCAAAGATAAAACTGATTAATGAATGAAAATCCAAATCCAAATTTAAATTTGGGTCAAGTTTTATGATGTAAAGATTAAGGCATTTACAGAGTCTGAAATATTTCTAAACTTGTCATATTCTAATTGAACACCTTACTTCTCAAAAAACTTAAACATTGAAGAAATACAGGTTACCCATACAAGCTGGTAAATGCTGTTTCAAAGGATCTCGTAATCATTTTTTTTCCTGTGAAGTAATGACTCCCAACAATCACATTTTGTTTTATTTAGATATATATGTTATTGGTTTGTGCTGTTTTTATCAATATTTATTATATTTATTATTTATCTGCTGGCAGAATTTTTTAGTGCAATCATATCTTTTCTTTGATACAGCTTTCTTTTAGTCAAATGAAATACATATCACAGAAATGAAATACAATAAATAAATTAATATAACGTCGGCCATTTTTATTTACTTAAATATCTACTGATGGCATTATTATGGAAACAAACAAAAAGTTACACGAAAATACTTTCCATTCACTAACATGTACCAGTATTAAAGGCACATAGCTCAGGTCAGATTACCTATGAATAGTATGGTTTTATATGTCTCTGAATTTACCTACTTTTCAGGCTTAGTTTACTTTGGTCATGAAAAAGTTCATATCTTGAATAGAGATATAGGTCAAAGAATACCAAATCTGTATGAATAGAAAAAGTGTGAAGTTTTCACCAATGACACACACAAAAATAACAGAAGAAAGGGACTAGCCGTGCATGACAATATTCAGTGTTTAATTAAAATTGGTATACATACAAAAATTTAATAAGTGTCTGTACAATATACCATGCTCCCAGATAACACCCTATCTAGACAAATAGTGACCGAATTTAACAGAAACTACCAAAGATCTGTACCTTTTATCAAGCTAAAGAAGGTCTCAAGTATAAATGTGTCACAAACTACTATAATGGAATCCTGAAAAAGTGCAGTAATTACCCTTCTGTTCAGATATATATATACTACAGATAACCAAAAACAAAAAGGCAATCTTTAATATATTTGTCTTAAAAATGTTCATGAATTGTCGCCAGTTTAGATTTTTTGTTAGTACCCTAGCTATCACCTTAATTTCTTTATCAGGCAAATTTATATAGGTTGGTTATCTATAATTTTAGAATTATGCTTGTTACGCCTGTATAATCGTATATTCGTATACACAGCCAGAGACATATATACACATATATGTATATATGTCTCTGACACAGCTTAGTGACCATGTTGATTGGATCTATCAAATTGAACTTGTAATGCACGAAACAACAGATGCAGCTATGTATTCGGAGATAAGTGTGGCGTCCGTTTCGCTGAACTAGAATACATTATTGTTAAGGGGCCAGCTGAAGCCCCTTAACAATAGCGGGATTTTCTCGCTGCTTTGAAGACCCATTGGTAGCCTTGGGCTGGTGTCTGCTCTTTGATCGGGTTATTGTCTCTTTGAAACATTCCCCATTTCCGTTTTCAATTCTATTAACAAATTCCATTGTGAATTTTCCGTTTATATGTAGCAACTTTCCAATAGCGCATACATGACATATTAAGCAACATAAATATCTCACCATAGCATATGTTTCCCATCGTGACTTTCTTGATAGGACTGATGCAATTAGTATGTCACTGAAAAAAAAGGAATCTGATAGTACAGTTGAAGCAAAGATTTGTATACAAATCCTTGGTTGAAGTCATCACATATAAATTTTCACTGTTTCAACCATATAACCTTTGCAGGATATTTTACCACAGGTCAAGATGACTATTGATATTTGGTTGTAATAGTCACAATTCCGTCTTACATTCCTCCTAATGAATAGTGTCTGGTGCCAACGATAAGTTAACAAAAAATGACAGGAATACGAAATTAAAAACCACTACAATTGCATTACAATGAATAAAATACCCGTTAATCGACTCCCTGTGCATATCTGAATATAAGAGCTGATATATAGATCACTCTGAAGCTGATATTAGGCCTCGCAACAGAAAAAAGCAACGTTGAGTTAAATCTGTAATTAGTGAGGCTTGTTTAGGGGGGGTATCAATATCCCATATCCCATTAAGTTTTTGTCCCAATATCCCATATCCCTATAATGTTTACCCCTAATATCCCAATAATTTTTTTTTACAAATATCCCGTATCCCTAAAACTATTTTGAAATATCCCAAAAAATCATTAATTCATTCCCAAACCCATTTTTGTATACAACATTCGTAAATACATGTTGTGCGTTGTAGTATGGATGTCAAGGATGTGGACTTTTTCACAGAGAAAAGTTAATCATTCAG